CGATTTTGTTAATGCGATAAATGGCCGAAAATCGTCGCAGAACACATTCCGTGACTCGTATAGCGCGACAATACCTGCAACAAACATAGTGTCGTCGGTAAATTACTTTTGCAACAAAATCTCAATTTTTGCGATAACATTTTGTTGTCGCGAAATCACAATTTTGTTGTAGTGGGTCATGTGGACTGCACAATTTTATTTTATTTTATTTTTTTTTTAGTTTTCCTCTTGAGTTTTTTTTTTTACCTAAACATTTTTGAATTCTTATTTTTGACCCCACAAGAAAATTGATCTCGGTCCGCCCCTGTTGCCATCTTCAAGGTTTTGTTGGTTATAAAAGATTATATTGTTGATCGAGCCTCTGAAATCAGACTCTGTCTTCACTCTTGATTCCATCCATATCTCGAACCCTAACTAACAAGGACCATGCTACATTATCAGGCCACATAAGCCTTGGCATGTGGCCTTGGTAATGCTAGGGAGCCAATTGACCCTGCACAAGTATGTACAAATATCCTTTTAGTGTCCCCCAACCTATCATCACAGAGGGTCAGTTGGCTTTGTACAAGTATCTTTATCGAACTAACGATTCCAGTTTTCTCCAAATCTGAAGATCTCAGAAACCTCCGCCCCCATATGACAATTTTAAATTGTATCATTATCTCCGAACTTTGAAAATTAAATAAGTTGCTGGAATTGAGATTTCATTGTATAGCTAAAACGTAATGTGGCCCTAGCGTTACACACTATAAATGGAATCTTACATATTGACGATGCCCCCGTGAACACGTCATTTGAGCAAGCCTTTATGCGAGAAGTTGCAACAAGTGGGTAAGGAAGGAAGCTTACGGATTTTTAACGTGTGGGGGTAGGGGGGGCCCTTTCCATGTGAAATCTTTTAGGAGGCCCCTTGAGTAAGCTAGCAGGTGATGAAGAATAGATAGTAGCTAGTGAAGAATAAACTAGTAGCTAAAAATGAGCAAGCAGCATGATGAAAGTCCTCGAGTAAGCTAGCAGTTAGTACAGAATAAGATGGTAGATATATATGAGCAAGCAAGCTACTGAGCCCCTATTTGACAATCATACTTTTGGAAAAAAAGTGTTGAATATTGATTTTAGGAATGAGTATATAGAAAAAAGAGTTTGAAAAACATGATTGTCAAACATGGGCTGAATGTAATAAAGTTATAATCTTTTCTTAAAAAAATGTTATTGACTTAAATTCAACTAAAACTAGTAGAAACAATGTAAAAATACCAGAATCACACGAGGCACGAGCTATAAACTTCAATTGAGAAAATATCGATATAAATGTTTTATTTTATCAAAACTTTAAAGCTAATGCGATTGGGCACGGGCAATTTTATGGTTGGTGACTAAAAATTGTATTTTACATGCTTATCTGTACTTTTAAATTTGATAAATAATTGCTTATTGAACGAATTTCAATTTAGTTTAGTGTAAATATGATTTTTGTCAGTAAAACCTTGACTTGAATGCATTTGGAGTGAGGAATGACGATTTTGAGTTTAATTTGAATTTCTATTTAGTTTAGTGTAAATATGATTTTTTTCAGTAAAACCTTGACTTGAATGCATTTGGAGTGAGGAATGACGATTTTGAGTTTAATTTGAATTGATTCGAGTAATTGAAGATTATTCAGATTGCATAAGGTCGATAAGGAGTATTAACAAAGCAACCAAGGGAAATTTACAAGTTTCGGGAGTAAAATTCAACTTATCAAAAGTGTGGGGACTAAGTTAAACTTTTGAAATTTGTGAAGGACCAATTTTGGATGATTATGGAGGTTTGGGGACCAACATGGAAACTTTTAGGAGTTACGAGATTTTGAAAATTGGGAGCAAAAAGAACAAAGCGCAACAATACGAAAGTTGAGGGACTAACTTGGGCGTGTTGAAAAGTAGAAGGACCAAAATTAAAGAGATGAAAAGTTAGAGGATCGAAATCAACAAGGCGCAATTCGTTGGATTAATGCCGTTTTTATTTTTTTAAATATTTTCTTGATTCATTGTAACTCATTTTTCCGATACGTCTCCTAATGCATTTTTACATTATATAAAAACCTCGTTTGGGTCAAATCTAGGGTTTTCAAGATTTGGCGAGGAAGAAGATGATTCTTGATGTATGTTCATCAGCTTTTCCTCTTTTTTTCTTCAAACCCGATGACATACTCAAATTATTTCTTGTAGTTTTTCTTTTCTCGCGATGTGTAACTAAACAATTAGTTGGAACAAACTATTGTAACCTTAATTTAAATGATCACGTTTTGATCTTTGATTGATGTTTGTATTTTGTTTTTCTTTTATTATTAATGACTTTGAATTACTTGATCACTAACTGTAAGGAGCGACAAGATCGATTTGTGGAAATTATGGGGTATGAATTATATTAAGAATCGCATGTTATTGGCCACTTCAAATGAACTAGATTAAATTTTCCAAGTTGAACCACATATAGAAGATGATAGAGATTATGTGAGTGCTTGACGCCCATTTTAATGGGTTGAAAAATTTTGGAATATCGATTGATGGGAGAATGTGTGGTAGAAAAGTGATGAAACGTTTTAGATTTGTGTGTAATATTATTTTATTTGATGAATGTGTGGTTGGAATGAAGAGAGAAAAAAATGTAATGGAATTTAATTTAATGGGGCTCAAACGGAGGCATAATTTATCGTTGAACTGGATTAAGTGATTGATGGGAATAATATGTGGTTAAAAAGTAAGAAAAATTTTTGGGTTTATGTTTAATATTATTTTATTGATAGAATGTGTGGTTGAAATGAAAAAAGAGAAAAAAAAAATGAGAAAGAGAATGGATATCAAATAGGGACTATATGTTTATGGGGATTTTCTTCACCATACAATGATTTTAAAGTACGTGAGCCCAGATAAGCTCGGATTATCCATGCCCACAGTACAATCCATATTTGTAAACATACATTATGGGATGAGAACAACACCCAAATTTGAGTTTGGAAAATCAAAATAGTGGTAATTCCATTAATCTTCAATAAAAAAAAAAAAAAAGAGGAGATTTTCTATGAAATCTTCTTTAGAAAATCTTCTTTGTACAATTGCCCGAGACTTTGAACAATATACCGATCATTCGACCCGAAAAAACAATAACTAAAGAAGAAGAGCGTGTAGAAAATGAGGAATTAATCATAATGAAGCCAATGAATTAGTGGCATTCAATGAAGTTAGAATTATCATTCTATCATCTGACTTAATTGTTTTTTTCTAAAATTTGTTTTCTAATTATGGCCGATGAGGAGGTCCAAGTATTCATAGTTGAGTTAAGGTAGAGTTGTTTAAAATCATATTATTTTGAGAAGATCAAAGTAAAATTTAGAAAGATAAACGAAGAATGGTGTACATTTAAATGATGTAAATTAGGCAAGGCTTCCAAAGCCATATTCAAAATATCATGAAAATATTGTTACAAAAAGTCAAATCAGGATAATAAACGAACACTTGTTAAGAGACAACCCAATTTTCTATCATTTTCTTATTATTTTGCATTAATTGTTTGTATTGCATTTAGAGTAGCTTCTCACGTGCATTTAAAAAATAATTTAATTTTTTTTAAAAAAAAAATTCTATAGTTTTTAATTTTAATATATATTTCATTTATGGTCATTAACTAAGTTACATAAGTTATTCAAAATCAAATTAGCCTAAACTCACACGCAATTGTATTGGTAATTATTTTCCCGATGTCTTCTGCTTTGTATTTTGATTAAAACATTTTTTATCATGTCCTAAACTATAAAATTTTGCATTTTATTTTAATTATATTTAAATAAAGTAAGATAAATAATTTAAAATTAAATATTTATTTTGATAATATTGACAACGGATTTGGAAGTCATTTTCAGAAAGATATCGTAGCTTTTTCATATAGCATTATTTCATTATTTTTATAAATAATTTTTAAATTCCAACATTCCAATTAATTCACAATTACACTTTGTTTGATTGGTTTTATTTTCCATGAAAAATATTCTTTTTCCACTCAAGTTTATACTTTTTGAGTGTTTGATTAATATTTTTTTATAGAAAATATTTTTCAAAAGTCGATCACGTGATCATATTTTTCTCAAACATAAAAAAAAATATTTACTTTAAAGAGGACATGATTTTATTCATTTGGTACTAGTTCTCTGATTTACTAACCAATAAAAGATGAATAAGTATAACATTTCTAGATTGAAAATAAAAATAATTAAATATATTTAATTAATAATTTTATAATTATTAAGAAACTATTTTATTTCATTGCAAATTTCATTATCGTAAGTAGTGTACACATATGTACAGGTTCTCATTTATAAACTCTTCCTAAACCGAGGCTAAGAAAAAGGAAAAAAACTAATTGTACAAAAAAAATTTGACAAAAAAGTTGACAAATCCTCACATGATTGTCGGCCCCACGTGAATAAAAAATTGAAAATAAAAAGTGGACCCCCCATATTGTGAGGGTTTGTCAACTTTTTTGTACAAGTCCCAGGAGAAAGAAAAGAGTGACCGTGACGTATGTGACCTATACACCATGATACAAATTCCTCTTCCCATTTCCTTAAAATTTTATGAGTAAACTTATGGATTAAGAGTCTAAATTAATTGATTCTCTTCTATACAAATAATCTTTGTATAATTATTTACAAAAAGATATAATCAATATGTGGGTGGAGCTAATTTGCGGTCTGATTGTTTACCGATTGTTGAAGCGCTACTTGTACGAAGACGATGACCTCCTTGATCTCGATACCTCACATTCCAGTGCCCTCTTCGCCGTCGCAAAAAGGTATAATTTATTGTAAAAATAATCATACTATCTGTTCTGATTTTTTTTTTTTTCCTACGTTTTGCAGATTGGAACAGCTTTATTACGGGAGTAAAGTCTACGTTGGCCTTCAAATTCCAGACGCTGATTTGGGTTCTCGACAGAATGTTGATATCGTTCTTGTTACTAAGGGGTATTTTATTTAGTTTCATCTCTTTTTTCGTTTCGTTCTACTCATTCATGTTCAAAGGTCTTAGCATCTACTGGTATTAATATAGAATTGCATTGTAAAATATAGTAATTTATTTTAAGAAGATTGGATAGAAGATCAGTAATGAGGGGTTGGTGGTGCTGTGTTGTTTGGTTATACTGTCTGCAGAGAGGCACTGGTGATATCTGTAATGGATGTATCAGGATTCATATCCATTGACAAGAATGGGAATTGGGTTTGCACTGGAGGAAGTAGCAACAAAACTAAGTGTCTTCCAGATCCTGTAAGTTTCTCTTAATTTCTGTTCAATAAGTTTTTTTTTTCTAACTATGATAGATTTTGCCTTATTTTATCATCTCATAAATTTGTGTCACTATTTGTGTTCAGTCTTTAAAATGCCTATAAGATGAACAAATATCCCTAGCATAAATCTGAAGTTTTATTTATTGCTGTGCAATGGGAAGTTTCAGCTATCTGGGATCTTATGGAGGAATTATTCAAATTTCAAAACCCAAATGGCAGTTAAAAAAGACCGTGCTAAAGAGAAACAGAGATTTGGATTCACTGTGAACTGCCGACTTCTATAATCTTGTTTACTTTCACCTATTGATTCCATCCCCACAGTCCTGCTTCACTTAGAGGCGGCTAATAGATCCAACATGCTACACTCATTACTTATTTTACTCTGCATAAATACTATTTTGCTGTTGTTCCTCGCAAGTGTTAAAGCTTATGCAAGTGTTGTTCTGCTATTCAGACAGTTGAAACAAAACGGCTAGTTCCCATTCTTGAAGCATATCTTGAACAAAGGGGAGTTGTTCTTCCAGAGGGATATCTGTCTAGCAAAGTCATATGTCCCAATCCAAAATTTAGGTATGCATTACTAAATTTTAATCTAATATTGTTAATTACTCATAAAAATGTTGAAGACTATATGTTTATATTTTCACAATTTCTTTCTTAACTTGAAGTCGTATGATGAATGCATTTATCATCGTATGAATTATAAGGGTTATACGTTTTAGGACTAGCTGTAAGCTCATGTTTAATACTATCATATCTATAAAATCTTATCAGATTCAGTGCTATCTTTGCCAAGGAGCCTTGTAATGCAAGCACCTTTTGCTTATTTCTTTTGGGAATTTCAGAAAGCTTAAGAAGTTTAGAGTGATGAGGTAAAAAAAAAAATGCTACCACAAATTTTTAATGGCATCAACTTACATGTACTCGATAACTTTCCTTAAATTTCTTTGACTGTCATTTCCAATACTGATTTTATGAACATGGTAGTGTAGAACTTTTAATCTCAAACCGTTTTGACCAAAAAAATCTCAAAACCACATAACAGTAGCCTAGCTGTTAAAGTTCACGATCATACGAATAGTTATTTATTTGTATGCCTAAGTCGTGGTACTGTATCAGTCATGAAGTGGCATAATTGAACATGCACAATCATAAAAATATTGTTTAGCTGTATATCAGATATCCAGCACTACAAATCTGAAGTATAATTATTTCAGTATATCACTTACTTTTGACTATGTGAAGATAATAGTTAAAGGCGAAACTGTTTCTACTATTTATTTGTCCTGTAAAACTTACCTATTATTTCTTTGGTGTCTGCGTTTCTAACTCTGCTGCTATTTCAGCGCCATTCACTCTGACGTGTTTCCACCTGAGGTCATTACCTATGACCAGTGGACACAGTTAAAACCCGAGCAGAAAAGTCTGCTTTCTGGATGGATCAAAGGTGCATTTCACAGTGCAAAGAAAAAAATGCAGGAATCATTAAATGAGAAGCTTTGTTCCACCCTCAGCACAGCTCCAATGTGGGATAGGTCTGTTACGGTTTTATCTTCCATTGTTTGATTTATGATGTAGTGTGACGTTATGTTCTGACAAGTTCCCATGTAGATAGTGATAAGATTGACATAGTGTTGGTGTTTCACATAAATCTGGATGGTTGAGTAGGAATAGGGGTTTAATACAGTCTCAAGCACAAGTGGATTGCTTCGCAATTGCTTTTGTCGATAATAGATAATAAAGAGTCACTAAGGCGACACTGCTTCTTGAGTTTTTAAATGAGTACAAAGTTACTACGTGGATGAAGAGAGAATATAAAGAATAGCTTTAACAGTACCTTGAATAGAGTAATTACTTTCTCCTCAGGATAGCCCCAAGTAAAATTAAAGTCCCCATTAATAAAAAGAATGGCTATTTTTTAAAAGAAAATTCATGTGAATTATCAACCTGTCTGTAAGAAGCAAATATGCAGTTGGGGCTTGGGAAAAGTTAATAAAGAAGGAATGCTTTTATGCTTTATTAACGGGTCAATTCTTAGGTTCCATAGTTGTATAATTCTACCTCTTGGGTTACCATGCCTATTGACAGACACAAAAAATGAATATTTTCATTTATATTGATACTATGTGTGACAAATATGATTTGCCATCGTTTGCGTTGAGATTTTGCAAGTTGCCCTACAATGCAGGTTAGAGCTTAAAGGCAACAAGTATGTCCTGGGAGAATTTATGGAGTTTAAAGGCAAACAAGATGATCTTCAGGCATTAATAAATATCAGGAGATCAAAAGTTAGCCGTCTGATTGTTCAGAAGATAAGCATGTTTGGTTTTGGTATCTCCACTTACTCTATTGCTTATATTTTACATTTTGAGTTTAGAAATGTGCTTTTCCTCAGAACTTGGCGAGTATAAATTGTTAACAGTGATATGAGCCTGTGTGATAAATAATTTGCACGACAATTGAGTTTTATCTGTAGAGATTCTTGCACAGCATAGTGAAATGTTTGTGATCTTAGCATTAGACATATCTTTCCTCTCATTTAACATGGCTTTATGCTGCATTCTCTTCCAGCCGATATATCTATCATACACCATGAAAATTTATGGACATTAAGGACAAAAGACAAATATGGACAACTCTGTTTATGTTGTTATCCCTTCGCATTTTTTTAAAATTTGAGAAAGATTTTTGGTTGCATTTTAGTGATAGGTCTATGGATTCATATCTGACAGCCTTTATTGTCCACCATATACAGCTCATTCCAGGATCCTAGTTTTATACTCTCCACGAGATTATCGCAATGAAGGGGCTTCTTCTTCAGAGTGGAAAGAAGTGACGGTAAGGTCAAGCACTGAGGTTGTATTTCATCCTCAGAATTCTACAAAAGTGCGAAAATATAAGCTGTCTTCAATTAGTTCCATGTCACTGAGCGCCTGAAAGTGAATAAGTTTGTGTGTAGTCGAGCTATACCCACTTGTCAATGCCACGAGATCAGCGTATCAACCTCAATATGGTTGTTTTCAGTTTCACAAATCATGTCGGCTTTGCTTCTACTTAGAATATGATCTTTTGAAACCCTATATAAAAGTGCTTTTGCATTGTAATAGAAACAAGTTTGATATATGAAATAAATTGATGCTCTCTCTCCTCTCTTTTTTCCCTCCTCTCTTCTCTTTTCTATTTTTCACCCTTCTTCTATAATTCTACTCTTATAACCTATGTCAATTTAGTATTAGAGCAATTCATTTTCCTTTAGTCTAACATCATTTGTCCTCAAATCCAAAAGTTCACCAAATGTTTTCATCTAATCCATATACACAATGTCACCTTCCGTCATCCATGCAAGCCCTACAACGGCTTTATACCCACTATCTTAAAATAATCTCTTTTTTCACTGTTCATTTTTGTGGGTTATTTTCACATTGAACCTGTTTCAAGCTGGTTTACTACGGTTCATTAAATCATAGGTGAATTGGACTGTTAATAAGCCCAATTTATGAAGAAAGTAGAAGAAAATGGGAAAGCAAAGAACAATGTAATTTTTTTCATGAAGTACTTAAAATGGTTTGGTCAAACTCCCTAATTTCCACTTTGAATTTTCAACTATTGTATATTTTCACAATGGCCTTTTGGAAGTTAAAAGACAAAGATGCCCTTAAATATGTTATACAATTATAAAATATTATTTTTGTTGAAAGGACAATACTACACTTCTAGTTAACAAGTGAAAATCAAGCACTTTCCACTTAAAATTTCAAAACTAGCTTACTTTTTTTATTTGTTTATTTCAACATAGATAAAAATTCTCTCATCTTTTATCTGCTTCAACATCAAAATCTCATAAATTTATTGAACGCTGAACAAGAAAATATTTTTTTATATCAATCACTTCAAATCAGTAAGTATATTTACATATATTTAATTTCATTTTCGTCAAAATAGTATACATTTACAATATATAAATTATTATCTTACACAACGGTGAGTGCAAATACAGTGATGTCAAATACAATATGTATTGCAATTACGATAATTTGGTGCAAAAATCGGTAAGCGCGATTACGGTGAGCTCAAATATGGTTTTATGGTGCACATACGCTATCTTAGGTGCAAAACTGATAATCACTGATACGATGAGTGCAAATACGGTAGGTCAAGTACGGCATATACTGTAATTAAGGCAGTTTAGTGTGAAATCGGCAAGTGCGAATACGGTGAGCTCAAATATGGTAAGTGAAAATATGATTTATGGTGCAAATACGGTATCTTAGGTGCAAAACCGATAAGAGCAAATATGATGACAAAAAATGAAAAAATTTCCATTAAGCTAAAGCATCACACTTCCCAACACACTGAGGGGCCCTGCAGGTAGAAAAATTGAAAACAATTACGTGTGATTTGACAAAACTTCCCAGTTAAAATTTCAAAATTAGCTAACTTTTCTTATTTGTTTATTCCAACATAGATAAAAACTCTCTCATCTTTCATTTGCTTCAACCTCAAAATATCAGAAATTTATCGAATGTTGTACAAGAAAATATTTTTTTATATCAATCTCTTCGAATCGGTAAGTATATTTACTTATATTTAATTTCATTTTCTTTAAATTAGTATACGCTTTTAATCAATAAATTATTATTTTACACAACGGTGGGAGCAAATACGGTGATGTCAAATACAATATATACTGCAATTACGGTAGTTTGGTACAAAATCGATAAGTGCGAATACAATGAGCTCAAATACGATAAGTGTAAATACGATTTTATGGTACAAATACGGTATGTTAGGTGTAAAATCGATAAGCGCGGGATACGATAAGTGCAAATATGGTATATACTACAATTACGATAGTTTAGTGTAAAATCGGCAAGCGCGAATGCGATGAGCTCAAATATGATAAGTGAAATGATGCAAATATGGTATCGTAGGTGCAAAATCGGTAAGTGCATATACGGTGACAAAAAATGAAGAAGTCTCAATTAAATTAAAACATCACATTTCTCAACACGCACACAGTGGGCCCTACATGTAGAAAAAGTGAAAACAATTACATGCGTGTCCCAATAATAAGAATATATATATACACACAACAATGCAACTATATTTGTATTCTCAATACAACTTATTTACCCATAGAAAAGATATATAATATAATAATATATACACACACACAACAATTCAGCTACATTTGTATTTTCAATACAACCTCTTTACACACAAAAAAAAAGAAAATTCGTTCGAAACTTCAGTTATTTTCACATTGAAATTGTTTTAAATTGGTTTACCACTGTTCATTAAATCGTATGTGGATTGGACTGTTCGTAGGCTCAATTTATTTTCTCTCTTCATAGACCAAGTTTATTTTCTCTCTATTATATACTTTCACTGTATATACACCAATATACACCATGAGCAGTGAAGAAAGGGTAGATTCTTTAGAGGGGATATATATTTTCACTGGATATACACATTTTATTCATCTAGAGTGTGTTTGGTTGAGATTTTTGGGGGAAGAATTGATTTTTGAATAGTGATATGATGGGAAATGGGTTAATTTCACAAATGGTCACTGAAGTTACACGAAAATAACAAAACGGTCACTGAAATTTCAAACTTGCAGAAATGGTCACTCAACTTTCACACGGTTTCAGAAATGGTCACTGGATGTAATTTTAGGACTTTTATGTTTTAATTGAAACTTAAAGCAAAATCTGCCACCGTGAGCTGTTCGTTTGAAATTGGCCAAGACCCATGTGTTCAATGGATGCGCCATGGTGGGGGCAGTGCTAGGGGTTGTGGTCCGCCACCGTGAGTTGCGACGCCGTAGCCGGAATTCGTAGTTGAAGGGACGGACTGCACTTTGGAGGAAAAATCTGCCATGCGAAATTCATCATTGTTCGTTCAAAATTGGCCAAGACCCATATGTTAGGTGGATGGGTCATGGTGTGGCGATGCTAGGGGTGGTGGTCCGCTGCAGTAAGTTGCATCGCCGACGCCAGAATTCTTGGTTGAAGGGGCCGAATTCGCTTTGATGGAAAAATTCTTCATATCTTTCTGATTTGTTTGAATTTTCTGATTTGTTTGATGTTATGAAGGAATCTGTAGGTGCGTAATTAGGAGTTTGATCGACATGTGGGGTGGGTATGACATGAGTGTCGCCGGAAGTTGATTTTCCGGCCAGTTTTCGATGCTTGTTCATCTGGTTTTGGATGAAATTTTGGGTCAAATATGTCGAAGTTGGGGCTAGTGGTAGGGTGGGTTGTGAAGAGGACGATGAGGGCTTCAAGGTAGTATGTTGGTCCTGTGGCCAAGGTGACCGGAGGTTTGGTTTTTGGTGGTCCAAAGGTGGCGGTGAATGTTGTCGATTTGGATTATAGTGTGTAGGTAGCCCAATTTGGTGCGATTTTTTGGCCAATTTCGACGAGATTACGGCTAGTGGTTGGATGGGTTGTGAAGAGGGCGATGAGGGCTTCAAGGTGGTATGTTGGTCCGGCGGCCAAGGTGATCGGAGGTCGGGTTTTTGGTAGTCCAAAGTTGGCTGGTTGAGAGAATTTGGAGGAGGGAATGGTCCTGGGTTTTATATGAATTTTGCACTTGAGGTCCTCCAGCTTTTAAGTGATCGTGTTTTGGTGCATAGGTTTCAATTAGAACATAAAAGTCCTAAAACTAACCTCAGTGCCCATTTCAGACACCGCCTAAAAGTTGAATGTCCGTTTCTGCAACTTTCGAACTTCAGTGACCGAAACTTCAGTGACCATTTTTGAAACTGAGTGAAAGTTGAGTGACCATTTATGTAAGTTTGAAATTTCAGTGACCGTTTTGTTATTTTCATGTAACTTCAGTGACCATTTGTGAAATTAACCCAATGGGAAATGTGTGGTTGAAAAAGAAGAAAAAAGTATTGATGTGATGGAAAATATTATTTTATTGAAGAATGTGTGGTTGAAAATGAGAATTGATTTACTATAGAAAATGAAAATCTGTACCAAACAGGCCCCCTAATCTATTTAGTATCTTCTCGTCCTTTTCACTTTTTCTTTGTTCTCGAAGAGAGAAACCTTAGAAATCGTCTTCTTGTGCTCTTCCTTTTCTTCGACAGATCCACATATTAACGTCGTAATAGAGGTAAATTTGTTCATGTTTTTCATTTGATTTCTCTATTTCATTCTATTTTTTGCATTTTAGTTGTTTATGCAACATGTTGTTTGCAATTTGTGTTTTTTGTTCCTCACTCTGTCCCCCGTCGATTCTTGTTGATTTTCTTCAGGTTTTGTGTTGTGAAGTTTACGAGTGTGGTTAAAAGGTGAGCTTTTCTTTTTTTCTTTTTTTTTTTAACAAGAACTCTATAAATCTGAATTTCTTTCATAATTTTTACTTGGATCTTCTATTGAAATTGTTGACTTGTTCATGTTCTAAAGTTTTTGTACCTTTTTCACTTCTCTTGAAACACAAATTGTAGCACTGTACTTCGTTAAATTTTCAAGTTGGAAATTTTGGGAAGTCATATGTTGTTTTTTTAGGGGTTCAAGTTTGTGTGTTTGGCTTTTGTTTTTTTGTTTTGTCTTCTTTCAAATTTAAAATTCTTGAACCTATAGTCGATAAGTCCCCTCATGGCCACTAAGGTACCCGGCCGTAAACATCAGGGCCCCGTGGGATTAGTCGAGATGCGTGCAAGTTGGCCTGAACATCCACGGTTATAAAAAAAAAAAATCTATAGTCGATAAGTTCTTTAGGCATTCTGTTGGGTTGGTTTTGAAAACCAAGTAGATTAGATGAACCCATTTGATTTTGGAATTAAGTTATGTGATTCAATTGTCGTAGAAAAGAAACTTGAGCCTTTGAAGAAAAATTGAAGTTTTAATTCAGGGAGTTCTGTGGATTTTTACTTTGAAGTTAGTAGATTTGATGGCTCAGCCTAATTCTAAGGAACCCACAAGTCAGAATTATAAAGTGAAGGGTTCTCACTCGAGGTCTTTATATCGACCATTGTTTTCCACTAATAATGGCTTGTCCCCATTAAGTCATTTTCCCTGTATTGAGTTGTTGGCTTTTTCAAACTATAGTTTGATGGAGGAAACAGATGTTACTCGAGAGCCACCAGTTACTCCATACTTTCCGAGGAAAAATGTGTGGCAAGGTAGTGATAGTCTTCTCCCGTGCAAAGGACATCAACGTTCTAGCAGTGATATTCCATTAAGATTTTCGACTATGATTAAGTCTTCACCTCTATTGGTGCCTACAAGTGGTTAGGCAGTATTGGGGAAAATGATTCATATAAGAGATAATCTAGGAAATGAAAGCATGTTGGGTTTAAGAGACGAGAAATGGATACAAGTAACGATCATAGGAGCAATGCAGAGGAGATAGGTGTTAGGAAATCAGAGGGACATGTGGGAGATGATTTGCTTAATTGATGGATGAGTTTTGATAGTGTAGATTTATTGAACTAATCTGGCATTGAAGATAAAGACAAAGACATTGTCGTTTGTGGCACAAAGATGAGTGGTGGCGACAATGACATTATTGAATCAAAATCTGTCTCAAGGCATGGGTTGAGTTCAAGGGATGACGTCAAAAGGAGCACGGTTGGCGATATTGCGCCTCCAGCCAGACACTACAAGAGCCTTTTGATGGATAGTGCTTTTGGAAATTTGAAGTTTGGTGATGAGTCCGTCAATTTTTTTGGAAAATCCAGCTGATCGGCTACCTCGAACCAATTCAATGACTGAAAGCTCTGGTAAACTCAATTTGGAGTTTGGGTATCATCAATTTAGTGAAGTTTGTGTGTTTAGTTAGAATTTTTTTCTTTTTGTCTTCTTTCAAATTTAAAATACTAGATTCTGTGGTTGATATGTTTTGTTTTTTATAGAAATTAGTTTTACCTATTCAATTTGACTTTTGTTGATTCATTTTTTGCGAGGTCTAAATGATATCTGGCTCTAGGATTTATCTTATTTTCTTCTCTACTGGTTGTCACTATGATCAAAACTTCTACGCTTTCCAGGACTAGCATTTTTATGGTTTTTTCATACGAATTATGCATTATCATAATGAATTCGGAGTTCCATTATGTTTCTGTTGGTTTTTTTGAATTCACCTTTTATTCGAGTTACATTTCGATTGTTTGTTCTGCTTTCGCTTCCATTGGAGTCTTATTTCATTTTGCTTTAAGTGGAGTTACATTCGAAGAAATGGGTAGGGGAGGTGGCAAAACATCCGTAGTGCCATTATGCTTTTATTCACTAATATACATTTTTTGTGACCGATCCATTGTCCGATATGTTAGAAAAGTTTTACCACAAATTCTGTATGGGATAAAAAAAAAAAAAATTCTTGAGTGGGATTTTGCCAAATAATTTACATTTTCTACTTCATATTTTCTTTATTCTATTGTGAAAAGATTTTCCTCCCAAAGATCAAATTTAAACACTAATGCTTACTGTAGCAGAATAGTTACTTTCATGATGAACTATTATAAACATTATGTTATTTTATTTTAAGTGTTGTTACATTTCTTTTGTTTCTTTTTTTTTTTTTCCCTTTCATCACTAGACAATTGATTCAAAAGTATTAAGTCAAGTATAATTAAACTAGAGGTAACGAATGCAATAAATTAGGATACCGTGCATATTTCTATTAGGGAAGATTGCGGCCGTGGTCCCAAATCTTTCATTTTGTTGCAGATTACACCCAAATCTTTTATTTTTGCGGTCGAAGTCCCTAACCTTTATATGTAGTTGCAGCGTCGGTCCCAAGCTTTTAATTCCATCCATAAAACCGTCAGTCAACTTTTCAACAGTATTTTTGACTCGAAAGAATTGCAGTGCTGGTCCCAAACCTTTCATTTTGTTGCAGATTACACCCAAACCTTTAATTTTTCCGGCCGAAGTCTCAAACCTTTACATATAATTACAGCGTCAGTCCATTTCACTCATTTCATCCATAAAATGATCATTCAACGTTGAAACAGTAATTTTAACTCAAATGACATCTTAATTGATAGGTAAAATTGTCAAAACAAGTTATCCAGAAAAATGTTTGTTTTCTTCAAATCCTTCAATCTTTTCACAGCCATCACATTCTCATCATCGATAACCATCTGATCAAATAACAATCTGATCCGATTTGTTACAATAATTGAATCGATAAATTATTTTTATGACATGTTATTTGTCACTAAAATAAATAAATGGGAAAATAAAAATAAACAAATTGCATTTGGTACTATAATTTGTATGTATTATTAAATAATTTTTAAATTGATTAAAAATTAAAAATAATATTAAACTAAGAAAATATTTTTATGGATGGAATTAAAGGCTTGGGACCGACGCTACAACTACATATAAAGGTTTGGGACTTCGGCCGCAAAAATAAAAGGTTTGGGTGTAATCTGCAACAAAATGAAAGGTTTGGGACCAC